GTTCTGACTTAGGCGTGAAAGCTGGCTGGGTGATTTTGGGTCGATCACCAGGAGACTGGAGTTATAGTTCTGCCTTAGGCATGAAAGCTGGCTGGGTGACTTTGGGTCGATCACCAGGAGACTGGAGTTATAGTTCTGACTTAGGCATGAAAGCTGGCTGGGTGACTTTGGGCTGATCACCAGGAGACTGTGAGTTATAGTTCTAATTTAGGCATGAAAGCTGGCTGGGTGATTTTGGGTCGATCACCAGGAGACTATGAGTTATAGTTCTGCCTTAGGCATGAAAGCTGGCTGGGTGACTTTCTGCCAATCACTTTCCCTCAGGCCAATCCATTCTACAGAGTTGTTGTGGGAAAAATATGAGAAGGAAGACGTATTAGGTATGTCCTCAATGAGTTACTTATAAAGTAATAAAAGGAGGCATAAAACATCTAATAAATAAGTAAAGAGCAACTCAGCCCAGGTGGCGAGAAAACTGGGAAGAAACATTTCGTATCCTTCAAAGAGATCCCATCTTAATTCGCTCATTATAAAATGGGTTGCTATTTTTGCACTTTCCAATATTCTCTATTTTTTCCCCAATTTCACCCTTAAAGAGATTTTATGTGGTCCTTGACTTATAACCATTCACTTAGTGATTCTTCAAAGCTGCCACGGCACTGAAAAAGTGACTCAGGGACTCTTTTTTCACACTTCCGACCATTGCACGTGATCAAAATTCAGACGCTTGACAACTGACTCGTGTTTATGACGTTTGCAGCGTCCTGGGGCTATTTGATCCCCTTTTGCGACCTCCTGACCAGTCAATGGGGAAGCCAGATTCCATTAATCATCATGTTATTAACCTAACTGCAGTGGTTCACTTAACAACTGCGGCCGGAAAGGTCCTAAAATGGAGCAAAATTCACTTAACTATCATGCTCAGCAACAGAAATTAGGGGGTTCGATTGCGATCGTAAATCAAGAACCACCTGTATAGAAGCCTTGCTTTCTGGCCTTATCCTCTTCCAGGGATTTTGGCCCTGTAGAAGAAGGTATCGCCACCAGCACACAGGCAACTAACTGCCTTTACACCATCCCCGTTGCAAAAAAAAAAAAAAATTCTGCTAAATCAATCACTGATCACTTTGTAATCGCTTCTTCCATTTTAACGAGACAGCAGCTGATGGAAGCCCGGCACGTTGAAAAAAAAAAACCAGACGGGCAAAACTCAATAAAGCCACTAAAAAGAGAAGATACCTTAACTTTCGCTTAACACATCAAACTATACAAATGGCTGGGATTTAATTGGATTTTAACAAGAGGCAGTGAGCAGGTGGGAGATAAATTTGCATGGGCTATCAAAGCTGCTGTCTTTTCGGCAATTAATACCTAATTAGCCTGAAAATTGATCACCTCGCGGAGTAGCACAGCGGATTGGGTAGTTTGGGGCTTCAGGGGACCATTCTGGACGTTTGGGGGACCAGATAGCAGCCTTCTGTTTTCGCTGAACAGGTGGACAGAGAGACTGCAGGTTGGTTGGAAACTACCATGAGCCTCGGAGGATATGTGGTAGGTTCTGCAGCCTTTAGCTCACGGTCCAGGCTGGGAAGATCACCTTGGGGCTGCAGTCCTGCCGAAACGTGGGGTTTTCTCAACCCCAGCAGTTTATTCCAAATGTGGTAAGACCATACTTTGAATACTGCCATCCAGTTTTGGTGGCCGTGCTGTAAAAAAGATGCTGAGCAGGGGTGGGATTCTACCGGTTCGCACCTATTCGCTAGAACCGGTTGTTAACATTCTAAGCAGTTCGTAGAACCGGTTGTTAGAAGAAATTACTGGCCTAATCCTGTAAGGAAGGCAGGAAGGAAACATTCTGGTGTCGCTTACAGAAACAGCCTCTCCGTTAACCCTTATTACATTCTTGGCAGGACTAGACTTCCTGTCTCAGGAACTTCTCTGGAGTTTTTTTCCCCCTCCTTTGCTGGTACTTTGTGTGGTGTGACCATTCAATGTTACAATGGCACTGAAAAAAGTGACTTATGACCATTTTTCACACTTACGACTATTGTAACATCCCCACAGTCATGAAAGGCCATGCGAGGAGATATCACTCGATGTGAGTGATATTGAGTTGGCCACGCCCAGCCAATAACATGACCACCAAGCCACATCCACCCAGTCACATGACCACCAAACCACACCCACCAATTAAGCCACGCCCACAGAACCAGTTGTTTAAAAATTTGAATCCCACCGCTGAGGCTAAGGCTCTAGAAAGTGTGCAGAGAAGAGCAACAAAGACGATTAGGGGACTGGAGGATAAAACATAAAGAACAGTTGCTGGGATTGGGTAGGTTTAGTTTAATGAAAAGAAGAACAAGGGGTGACATGATAGCAGTGTTCCAATATCTGAGGGGCTGCCACAGAGAAGAGGGAGTCAAGCTAGTCTCGAAAGCATCTGAAGGCAGAAGAAACAACGGATAGAAATTAACTAAGGAGAGAAGCAACCTGGGATTAAGGAGAAACTTTCTAACAGTGAGGACAGTTAACCAAATTGCTTTCGAAAATTGTGTGCGCGCCCCAACACTGGAGACATCTAATCAAATAGTGGACAGCCATCTATCAGAAATAGTATAGGTCTCCTGCGAGAGCAGTTGGACTAGATGACCTCCAAGGGGGGGTCAAGCTGTTCTCCAAAGCCCCTGAGGAAAGGACGAGAAGCAATGGATGGAAACTACTGTTCTACTGTTGTCCTTGACTTAAAACCATTTGTTTAGTGACTGAAGTTACAATGGCACTGAAAAAAGTGACTTGCACTTATGACCATTTCGATATCTCCATGGTCACATGATCAAAATTCAGGCCCTTGACAACCGCCATGTATGTAGAACAGTGGCATCATCTCGGGGATCATGTGACTCCCAATTGCAACTTTCTCAGACAGCTTCCAACAAACAAAGTCAGTGGGGGAACTGGATTCACTTAACAACGATGTAATTCACTTAACAACTATAGCGTGGTGCTTAATCACCATGGCAAATAAGTGGTAATGGCTGGCTGGGGAATTTTAGGAGTAGAGAGGTCCACATGCTTTTGAATTGCCGGCATGCTAACTGGGGAATTCTGGGAATTGGAGTCCAACATCTTCAAGTTGCCGACATGCTAACTGGGGAATTCTGGG